AATACAGAATTCACGAATGCAGGCGATTTTTTCTTCATGCTCGAGGGTGGGTTTCAAGGAAACTTTACAGACGCACGTATACAGACGTCAATCAACATTTGGTTGCTCAACTCAAAAAGGGAACATGTAATGTTCGTTAGAAAATGAAAAAAACATCTATATTTTATAATAATAATAATGGGTCAATATATAAGGCGAAAATAAAAAAAGCTGTAAGCACGAAATAATAATAATAATAATAATAATAATAATAATAATAATAATGACAATTATTACAATAATGGTTGATTTTTGTTACGACAGTGGTTAATGTTACAGCAGTGGTTGATTTTTGTTACAACAGTGGTTGATTGTTACATGTGTGCATGAATAAATGTTTATTCACCGATGATACCGAGGTCTTGGTACAGTTACTATTATATTTACCGCTGCCCATTTGGAGTTTAGGGCGGCGTATGAATATATCTCATTGTTGTGCGGTCAGCCGTGAAATTGTGATGTATCCCATTAATGTAGGTCGCCTTGTCTAGGGTGCAGCTAGGCCGCTGTAGGGCAAGTTGAGATTCTTTCAAATTAATCTATTATTTCATTGTTTATGGCATGGAGGTATTATTTATACCTCCATGTTTATGGCTAATGCATAGAAATTGCAGGTTTATTATATATTAAAATTATTGTTAATCTTTTGTGATGTTGTTTATCCATTATGCAAATTATAATTAGAAGAAATATAAATTATGTTGAAGTACTGGGTGTCGGGTGTTGTAGAAAATGGTTGCTCTCTCACAGTTTGTCCATTAAGTAAGAGAGTTGATGAGCGGCCAGCGAATTTCTTTTCTTTTTTTCTTCGACGTCTCAGCCGAGCCGGTTGGTGACGCTATAATTATATAATCAATATTCATCAGCAAAGGGCTACGCTTTCGCTCGCCGCTCTGTTCAAGGCCGCGTTGTTTTGTTTTGTAAGGCCAAAGTTTGTCGCGAGGCCTAATCTACAACGGTATTATAGAGATGAATACAATTACATAAAGATGGCTTAACTTTATTTGTGTTTTTGGGAGGAATTATTATGTGCAAATGCAACTGTTAGGCCCAAAGGAAGTCGCAGAATATGTACCAAAGTGAGGCCCTTAATCTGGTTTTCCACTAGGCGAATTTATTCGCGCGAATCAAAGCGTCGGTTCGTTTCCAGAGCTCTGATTGTTTGCGCATTTTTCCCTTCGCAAAAACTCGGATAGGAATGTGAATGCGCATGTGCATGAACCGACGCTTTCGATTGGCGCGAATAAATTCGCCTAGTGAAAAACGTCTTTATTCGACCTGTCGTAGTACTAGCAGGCTATGACTGGTTACTCCTACTCGTAGTCCAAGCGCATGGGATCACGATTAATTTACTTTACGCTTATGGACTGCGACTATCTTGTATTTAAATAACTGTAACAAAAAAAAAACAACACTGTCTTTTTTCCATTCCCGGAATTATAACTCAACCTCCTATGCCAGTATGCCAATGTGGTACTCTTTAAATGTGTACGGTATCTCTGGTGTGTGTTTTATTATGTAAATTACAAAACGCAAAGGTGTTTAGAACTTAACCAGGGTATATTGCTCTATACTTCAACAAAATTGTTTTCTTTCAAATGATTACTATTCTTGACTTTGTACAATAATACATACTATCGTATTTACTTTTGGATATACGTTAAATTGTATTTTTGAAATTTTAAATTACTTTTGTTATATTACAATCATTTTTTATAATTTTGTGTTATAATTAACATCAAAATAAAAGCATAAGGAAAGGGATATCTAAAAAACCACCATCAAACAGTAACAGTAAATATAAGATAGTTATTTTATAGGAACAATAAAATTTTAAAATAAAAAAAAAACTGTACTGATTGAATTAGAGTGTTTTTACTGTAAAATGACAATTATTATTATTGTTATTATTATTAATATTGATATATTTATTTGAAGTTGAAATAAGAAATGATTACATTTAGGTTGCTGATACGTCACAAGTCTTAGATTCATAATTTTAGTTATCAAACTATATCAGTTATCAAACTACTGGTAATCACCTTCTGTAATAAAACATGTAATAATTAATAAATGTTATGTTATATTTGTAATCTTTTTTGTAAGCCTACATGAACTTACATCTCCCTGGTAAGTTACACACCGTTGCTTTTTGTAATTTACAATATAAAACATACACATACAATACATACACATTTAAAAAGTACTACAACTACATTGGCACACTGGCATATGGTGGGTCGAATGGCCGAGCGGTTAGCAGGGGCGCCGCAAGCTATAGCCATAATATCGGCGCTGGTTCGAACGGCACGCTCGCCTATGGTTCTGGTGGTAGAACAAGTCTTCTCGGATAAGGACTATAAACCGTAGGCCCAGTGTATACAATGGCTCCTGTGCACTATAAAGAACCCTGTACATCCTTCGAGACGAGTAGGGGGATACCCTGGTGTACTGGAACAGACAGCCCCTGTGGTGGACGACGAGAGTTGCTGGTACCGGGTTACCGGGTAGCACAGACACTAATTGCGAAGAAAGTCATTGATCGAGTCACTAGCCCACAATTCAAGCGCCCTGAGCATCTTACATTAGATGGATTTGTGCGCTATATAAAACTACTATTAATACTATTACTATTATGACGTTAAGTTATAATTCCGACGATGGAAAAAAAGACTGTTTCTTTTTTGTTACAGCGCGTTAATTAAATTAATCGTTATCCCACGCACTTGGGCCTAGCAGTTGTATTTGCACATAGTAATTCCTCCCTAATACATATAAGTTAAGCCATCTTCTAAATTGTATTTATCTATTTTACAATCCATTTTACGTAAGATGCTTAAACAAAGTAAAGAAACACTTAGTTGAAGAGGTAAAATTCATAAAATTTTGGTAGTACAAAAATGTCTTTCATTTTATACCTACTAAAAATCAAACCCCTAAGGAATATAGGAGCTTTGTTGTTTATCATTTTAAATGTCCTGGTTGTATCGGTAAGACAGATTAATAACTAGACTTAAAGAACATTCTTCACGATCTGATATGTGTTATAAATGATCATATACAAAATTGTGAGGCATTGCTATATGTTTTAGGTTTACAAGGTATACTTGAAAATGATAATGTATCCTGTATTTGTAAGTGATAAATTAGGTTTAATATTTTCTAATACTAACATTATTGACAATTCGCAAAATTGGTCTATAAGAAGCGTTTGCTATACGTAGGCTACACCCATTGCTTAACAATGGACTAAAATCTTCAAAGGAGCTTTCTTTGTTTTTGCATAGGTAGCTTTGATCAGTAGAGTAAGAATGCTTTGATCTTTAGTTTATTCATAGCTTTGGGGTAATGTTTTGATTGGTCAAACACTTTTGGTACTTGTGCTTAAAAGCTTGCAAATATGGATAATTTTTCATTCCTGATGATGACATAATTAATGTCGAAATATTGAATCCCGACACGATGGCGTGCATTTCGATCTTGGAGTATGTATTATACTACGGTGTCGTATTCATCTAGAGCGAGCGAAAGCGAAGCCCTTTGCTGATGAATATTCATTTAAAGTATAGCGCCACCAATCGGCAAACATAACTTAGAAAAAGAACGGAATTTATATCAAAATGCCGACACGAAAACAAGTTCTTGTTTAGCCATGCTGTTACGTAAATGATTTTATGACGGTTGCGAATCCTCACCAACTGGTCAAGTATATATACTGACACCACTCTTTTCATTCAGCCTGATGATCGCATATATCCTGAAACTTTATGTATTGCAAACCTATTTTAAAGCCGAAGTTTTTATTCTGTTTTTATCAAATGTAATATATACAAC